TTTAATCTATTCACCAGGAGCAGTTTCAATGTTTCATTAACAGTATTGTCTATTCACCAAGGTAACTGTCATGTCTATATTAACCCCTTAATGCCCCTATTTTTCTTTGTGTTATTTTTATATTTCTTTAAATGAATGTAAGGCTCATACCAACGTTGTATTGACAAATATATAAACCAATTAATAAATCACAATTCAATTCCAAGGGAATAATCTGCAATTAAGATTTTGTCATAATCATGCAGCCCTAAGGTGAAGAAACCTGTTAATTATTTATTTCATTTGATTTTGCAAATGTTCATGTTTCAATAAAACTACTTGTGACATGTCATATTTGGCTTTGACTGAACATTTGCTCTCACTTTGCAGAAAAAATATCGGGATATATTTTGTATATTGAAATTCAGCCTAAATATATTGGGATATGACTATTGGTCCATATCACCCAGCCCTAGTTGAGATGAAAACTCTTGTTCGTTACATTTTACTTCATATTTGCAACCACATGTGTTGTATTCATTGTTGCAAAACTTGTTCTGTAGTTCGTTGTTATCGTGATCAAAACCATTGATCTGAAGCTCAATGCTGATGCTGTCATGTAAATAGTTTTCTTATCAGCAATAAATATAACAATTTCTGATCAACCCATATCAATTGCATGCTTAAAATAACATACCGGTTAAAGCCCCGCCCATTTCAAGACTACCCGACCCACTTCCGGGTTTAGGCCCCGCCCAGTCCGAGTACAGATACAGATAATTCATATGGTTATACAGATACAGATACAGATAATGCTGTACTCGCTCATCCCTAGCATAAATGTTACGTGGGATCTCAATATCTCAGCTCTGGAAGGGTCTAGAGCCTCCATTTTTGCACTCAGGTGTAAGTCCCATGGCCCTCTATCAGAATCCAGAGTTTCAAGAAGATTGGAGAAACTTATTTTTTTGCACCAAAAAAAAAACGAAAGGGGTAACACTGTCGTTTTTTTGGGGGGGGGTCGAAATTTTGAGTTTCTCTGATCTTCTTGAAAGTCTGGATTCTGAAAGAGGGCCATGGGACTTACACCTGAGTGCAAAAATGGAGGCTCTAGACCCTTCCAGAGCTGAGATATTGAGATCCCACGTAGCATTTATGCCATTATTATATATCTAAATATCTCAGCTCTGGAAGGGTCTAGAGCCTCCATTTTTGCACTCAGGTGTAAGTCCCATGGCCCTCTATCAGAATCCGTAGTTTCAAGAAGATTGGAGAAACTTATTTTTTTGCACCAAAAAAAAAAACGAAAGGGGTACCACTGTCGGGGTTTTTTTTTTGGAAATTTTTCGAAATTTTGAGTTTCTCTGATCTTCTTGAAACTCTGGATTCTGATAGAGGGCCATGGGACTTACACCTGAGTGCAAAAATGGAGGCTCTAGACCCTTCCAGAGCTGAGATATTGAGATCCCATATTCCTTACTTCCCCATATTTTTGCACTCAGGTGTAAGGTGTAAGTGATCTTCTTTAAGGAGCCCTAAGGGGGCGATAAAGAGTTGCTGTAGGAAAACTACTCAATCTTTCTCTCCTCTCTGACTTCAAAACAAAGAAAAGAAACACAGAGAGGAACCACAAGCACAGCAGGAAGAGAGATTTTAAGAGCAGATTTACCAGTCTATGAGGTAAAAGTCAGGCGTCAAGCTGTTGTTCTGAAAGTGCTGGAATAGTTTGGGAAGGTTCTCTTCAAAAAACACCTCAAAGGCTGCAAAATACTTCAGCATCTTGGGAAGAAAACAAAGTATCATTTCAGTGCAAAGCCGACTCCATTTTAAACGCAAACATGATTAAAAGCACAGCAATAAGCGTGTAAGATAAAAGGAATGTTCGTCAGCAGATAACAACTTTTGGGAGTTTTTGGCTTCTACTCGAGAGTTTGTCTGGCAAATGAAATCTCTATAAATGGGTCAACAGATGTTCGGAATAAATGCTGATTGAAAACGCAGCCACAACACTCCCTCTATTTTAAAAGCAAATGTAGGTGCTGTAGCAAGTCTACCACAAATAAAGTTAGATGAAGAGAGAGTGCATGTATTTACCAGGTCATGGTCCACTCTGAAGAAGGCCATCTGGCATGGTTTGTTAAGGAGGTTGGCAAAGGCAATGAAGGCATCGGCTTCCTCCAAATTCAGAATGAGAACAGCAGCAATGAAAGACATCCCCTGAACCTGAAACATGCCACAAACACGTCAAGCTCTCCGTGAAGGACATCCCTGAACTAGGATGGTTGAAATGACCTACTACTTACATAGCCTACATCAGGTCTATAACAGGTGTATGCCCCCAACAGACTGTGCAATATGTCATGATATGGTCCACCCTGATGAAAAGAAAGGCACAAACAAGTCAAATTGGAAACAACAAAAAACAGACAAACCACCCCCCCCAAAACAATGTCGAGCCTATACACATGTTCTTACCTTCTGGAAAATGTAGAGAGAGGGAAAAGTTCTGGAAATATCAAGCTTGATTAAATCCAGACTGGATTCTCTGTCTGCCAGTGTCACGCCATAATCTAATCAATTAAAATCAGATGAAGTCATCAGTCAGACTAGAGCTGGTTGACAGAGCTCAAAATCAAGATTTTTCAGCTATTGAACAAAATTCAATCTTTATGGATTTGCTCTGAAATGGCCTAAAATGATGTTATTTACCACTTTAGAATAAATTCAAACGTAATGAATAAATGTAAAAAAAAAAAAAAAAAAAAAACTAAATAGCCACAGTGGTTAAGTAAGATTTAGCAACAAAAAAATCAGTAAAAGCTATATGTAGCTACATGCACTACCGTTAAAAAAATGTTTATGCTCAACATGCCTTTATTTATAGTATTTGATAAAAAAAAAGGTAATATTGTAAAATACAATTTAAAAGAACAGTTTTCTATTTTAATGTATTTGAAAATTTTATTTTTTCCTATGATGGTCTTCTGTGTCATCCATCAGAAATAATTGTAATTTGCTTATTTGGTGCTCAAGAAACATTTCATATTATCATCAATGTTGACAACAGTTGTGCTGCTTAATATGTTTGGGGAAACCATTCCACTTTTTTTCAAGATTCTTTGATGAATAGAAAGAACAGCATTTATTTGAAATGGAAATCCTTTGTATCACTAAAAATGTCCCTACTGTCACTTTTGATCAATTGAATGCATCCTTGATGATTAAACTTACTTTCTTTTTAAAAAAAATCCTTTATTAAAACATTTTAATACGCATAATGAATTTTGAGTGATGATGCAAATGAATAATTGGATTAGAGTTTTGATTGGTTGACTATAGCACTGAAAAGTTTGTATCTCACCAATTCTATTTGTGCTACTAAAAATTAAATCAGAGATGCGCATTAAATTATCTTTGTCTTATTGTTGTCATACTTGCAAATCATGAGACAAGAATGAAAGCAAATCTTTTCCAATGACTCTTCACAATATTCGCTTAGATTACAGAAAAAACGATCATGAATATGTTGTTGTAAATATTCATTGTATCACCCAAGTCACAGCAGTCAAGTTATCTACTTTATGATTTCATGTGATGCAAGAAATTGTTAATGGAACAATGACAATGTGAACAAAACACTATTCACCTCAATCTGGCTCCACTTTGAAGTATAAGATTGTTTATTTATGTCATTTGAAGTAGTTTAGTTTGCAGACAGGTTAGTGAAGGGTAAAAATAGTCACTATCAGAGTGTTTTAATATTCGGCAATGTTATTGATTTGACAGCACTGACACTATCGGATGAGAACTGAACTGAGAAGGATGATGACATTATTGAACCAAATAACAATAACTGAATAATGACTGTTTCCTAATGTCTTTTCAGAACTGCTTTACAGCAAAATTAAATTCTGTTTGCATCATTGAATCATCATTTTCCTGTAAAGCTGCTTTGAAAAACTCTGTATTGTATAAAGCACTAAATAAATAAAGGTGACTTGACTTGATAGTGTCAACAAACACAGACCTTCATTTTCATTTACTGAACTCGTCTCATTGAAGCTCCGCCACTTCTCTTTGGCTCTGGACAGGAAGATCTCATACAGTTCTAAAACACACAAGCACAATTGATGTGACAAAAGCAGCAGCTGCTTTGTTTTTAACACAGCTCATCTGGACACAATCTGTGTTTGTTTGTGTCAGATTGATGTTACGCAGAGCCAGACGTCCACAGATGATCAAGACTAACCAAATGTGAGGAGTGCAGCAGTTGCCATGGTTACCTGGGGTGATGTTGAGCTCATTCCCGATAGCGAGGCTCCAGACTTTCCCGCGGACGCTAGGCGGGACGCCCTGCCACCAGAGGTCACGTACACGTCGTGTGTTACGCCTTCGCCATGACAACAGAGTACATCATTAGAAGACATTAAAAGACAAATCCACATACTGGACATTGATAAGCGACTTACATGCTTTCCCAATTCGGCAGGACTTCTGTGTTCCAGATTACCATGGCATTAGCAATGTTCTCCTCCTGTCGGTATCGGTCCTTCATTTGTCGTTTTTTCTTCAGTGCCTCTTTCATCTCTAAGTAAAAGAGAAAGTGTTCGTCTGCCTGAGAATAGGTAGCATCAACATTAATGCAACAACAATTTGTGTTTGTGTGAGAGGGGCAGCTGTATGAGTGAAGTGCTAAAGTGCACATGGCCAACAGTCATTACTACTGCAAACACACCCCAATGGGCGTCTGCACACAGACACGCACATCACTCACCCCTTCTCTTGGCCCCTGCAACCATCTCACTGTATTCCTGCCGGTGTCTCTGAGATTCCTCTTCAGATTTAGCTGGCAGGTTTCTAAAAAATACAAGTAGTCCTTGAAGCTGCATAGACATAACCGCCTTCACATGATCCTTCAGAAATCATTCTAATATGCTGATTTGGTGCTCAAAGAAAATGTATTACCATTAATGTTTAAGACATTTGTGCTGCTTAATATTTTTGTGAAAACCAGGATGATAACATTTTTTCAAGATTCTTTGATAAATAGAAATTTTTTTTGTAACAATGTAAAAGTTCTTTGATCAATGTAAGGCATCCTTGCTGATCACAAACTTCTGTGTATGTGTGTGTGTATATGTATGTATGAATATCAATATATACAAATCAATACATATACACACACACATACATACTGTATACACATACACACACACATATATATATACTTACATACATACCTACAATATATACAGTAATGTGCAGAAGTCTTAGGCACACTAGTATTTTCGCCTCAAAGAAATGGTTTTTAGCCAGTTATTTATATATTTTGTTGTACTGTCTCAGTAGGAAATATCAGTTTACATTTCCAGACATTAATTGTGCCATTAACTGTAATAATCCAGTGAAATTTCTGAATGCACAAGGATTCTGACAACAGCCAATGCTCCACACGGAGGTCGGATCTCAACATCATCGAGTGCATCTGAAATTACATGAAGAAACAGAAAAAACAGAGACTAAGACCAGAAGAACTGCGGCAAAGTCTCGAAGGTAGTGCCTGCCTGCCTGCAAAGCTAACAGTTAACTAAATCAAATCAATAGGTGTTTTGTACCCTTTACGGTTAAAACAGCTTTTGTCCAGGTATTGCACATAGTTTTTAGTTTTGCAGGTTTTTTCAAGCGTCTTTGGAAACGTTGCCGCAGTTCTTCTGGTCTTAGTCTCTGTTTTTTCTGTTTCTTCATATAATTTCAGATGCACTCGATGATGGTGAGATCCGACCTCCGTGTGGAGCATTGGCTGTTGTCAGAATCCAAATTTCACAGGATTATTACAATTAATGGCACAATTAATGTCTGGAAATGTAAACTGATATTTCCTACTGAGACACTACAACAAAATATATAAATAACTGGCTTAAAACCATTTCTTTGAGGCGAAAATACTAGTGTGCCTAAGACTTCTGCGCAGTACTATATATATATATACACACACATATACATTCCAGCTAATTTCAGTTCACAAGCTCCCAAGTTCCAACCAGATGAAACTATTCTTTTTACTCCAGTATGAAATTTGCCTAAATATGGCTAACTGAGACTCACAATAATTAACTATATAGAAAGCTTTTTTTTATAATTACCAAATACACACATCACATACTTTCTGCTACATGCATTTGAACTTTGTAATAAAACCCCCCTGCTCTTCAGACTTATTTGGTGTGACGTTTGTGTTTTACCATCAGTGGCAAGGGAATTTAGGTAAATATTTTATTAAATGGAAGCTTGAAGAACTGCATTATGGGAATGTAGTATGTTTCAAACTTACGCAGGTCTGTCTTCCAAAATGAGAGCGGTCGTGGACAAAGGCTCAAACTCCAGATTCTTGCGTTTCATTGGCTGAGGGTGAGAGGATGGTCCTGTGGCATGTCCCGCCCTGGACTCGTAGTCCTTTTTTTTTTTTAAAGGAAAGAAGAGAAGTCATTATGAGATTACAGCAGATCTGTGTCTACAATTTCTCAGCTGGCACATGTATCCAGAGGAGACGTGAAGGGGAGAAGAATTCCGTCATGAGATAACCACATGCTATGAGTAAAGGGCCCAAAGGCCCTTAATGTTAAAACCATATTATAACTGAAACATTTATGAGTCAGTGAGTGACACAGATTTCTGACTCAAACCTAAAAGGCAACAGCTGCCCAGCATGACTCTGATACAAGGTCAGCCAGAGAAATAACACGTTTACATGTGCAGTTATTATCGAGTTACCGTTGATTTTGCCAAAGTCAAGCTACTGTCCGAGTATACATGACAACACATATTTGAATAATTGAGGTATTAAATACAGAGGCCAACTGTAGTTCGATTAACTTGTATAAATGCTGGAATGAAGCCATGTGTGAAATATTACTAGCTTTATATGCTTTATTAGCTTTTTTATTTTTTTATGTGGCCATGGCAGTGGAAGACATTACATGACCTTGATTTAAAAAAGTTAAAGGCTATAACAACCATACACAATTCTATTAACATAAAATGCTCAGCTATTACATACTTTTGAAACAAGAAAGTACCAATATTAATTTAAGGAAACAAGGATCTGAAATTAAAGATAGGCTTTGTAAGATCACACAAGAGACAAGGCTCAGTGTGTGAGTTTAATCAGAGATCTCTCTCTCACTGGAATACAGAGAGACACCTGCAGAGGGTGAATTGAGCACAAATCAAGAGTTGAACAACACAGGCTCAGTCATCGCTTACTGAAGGGGAAGAGTAAAGACAGCTGTACACACACACACACACACACAAATACCAGGCCTGCCGCACACACACTTGTCTCTCCTGGCAGACCCACAAAATAACAGACAGCTTCCAACAGCAATTTCGATCCATATTTATTTCATGGACACTATCTTTCTCTGTTTCTCTTCCTCCCCCTGGCTCTTTTGCCTTCACTCTCCCTCTCTCTTCTGATAATACCACTGTACCTTGCTACCTTTTCTCAGCACAAATAAGATCAACTTCAGCATTTTTAGTCACAGAAACAGAGGTGCTGTTTATTGGGTTATAAACTGTTCAAGGAAGAGTCCACCAAAAACTGAAAATTATGTAAATTATTCATTATATATATATATATATATATATTCAAATAAACATACTTTTTAAATCAACATATTAGACTGATTTCTGATGGATCAGGTGACACTGAAGACTGGAGTAATGATGCTGAAAATGCAATTTTGCCATTAATGGAATCAATTAATATATTTAAAATAGAAACAAAATAGAAAACAATTTTTTATTGCTGTATTTTGATTAAATAAATACAAAATTTCTCTATAAATCTATTTCTCACTTAAAGTCATAAAAGTGAATTTAGGCATCATAACACTATAATGTTCATTATACTAGTTTTGAATTTTGATATTACATTATACAGTTGTATTACAATTACTTGTGTGTTAGATATTATCTCAAGTGAGCATTAGAAGATGGCACAAGTGGTCTTTGAGTGAAAATAGTAGGAAATAAGCACAAAAAATATTGATACCGATACTTAAAAAAAAAAAAAAGACTAATAATTTCCTCAGAACAGAAAATCAGACAGGTTTGAAATAACATGAGGCTGAGTAAATGAATAAAGAATTCTCATTTTTGAAAATGCCATTCCCTTAAACCGCCTCTCTTACCTCCTGGATGGTTCTAGAGTCTCTCGGAGGGTTGTCCCGCAGTGGAATTTTCCCAAACAGCTTCCATCCTGGAGAACTTTGGGATGCTGCGGCTCTTGAGTCCTTGGGCTTCCAGGAAAACAAACTCCTTTGAAGATAGACCAATAAGAAGAGAGATCAAAAGAGTGAATATTCGAAAACATATGCCACATAAGTTTGTCAGAAAATCCCTAAAGAGTTAAGCCTTCATATTCTGTGATATAAAGAGGCCAAAACATGACAATCATTCATATTCAAAAACTCATTAAGTTCAGACTATGGCTATATAGGAATTAAGAGCTTAAACAACTCAGCAGAGCAGGTCTCAGGTTTTAATGCGCGTGATGTAGCTGCAACCAGCATCCTGCAAATAAAGCCCTGAGCCAGTCACAGGTGCCCTTTATACAAACACACATACGAGCAGGCCCTGCTGTGGAGATGAGCTCATTAAATCTATGAGCACACTTTCTAAAGGGACAATCGATCTAATGCCGTTTTAATTACATCATAAAGCCACTGAGGCAGGTCAATACTGTCCTGGAAGAGACTAATAGGATGACAGACACAATAGAGAGGGAGACAGACAAAGAGAGAAAGTGTGACAAAGGATGATATGGTATGGTACAGTGGGAAAAGAGAAGTTTGTTCCAACAAAATAGGGAACTGAAGACACAATGTGAGCAGAAACAAGGTCAAGGCAGCAGAACGCAATGAAGCCCAACTCATAAAAGCTGACATTAAAATTCCTCAGTGAGAGTGTGTGTGTGTGTGTGTGTGTGGGTGAGAGTATTTTTTTCCAGAGCAAAGGCATTCTAGTTCTTTGTAGAGACCAAATCTCCTGGGAAGAGGACTTTAAGGCACTTAAATTTCAACCAAAACATAATGGAAATGGAGCAGATGCAAGTCAGATATGCAGGCTGACGACTCTGATGCAGTGTTTGAAATCCATGCAAGACTAAGATGACAAAATGTATTGGATTTGACTTTGATAAAGCAAAGCGCCTTCTCTCGATTAAACATCTGAAAAATAAAGCAAGAAATTGTGTTCAAAGTAAAACAGCACACCTCAGACCTTCTGCGACGAAGCATGTCAATGAACGGAGAAGCCACAGGTGAGTGGTAATCAAAGCCTGTCACTCATTACCTGATCATGCGTGCAACAGTGTGACTTCTGCTCTGAAACAATACACATCGTCCTCACAGATGCTTCAAATAAAGCATATAACAAAATATTTACGTAAAGATGCATCAATGCTGAGTTGACAATTTTATTGTTGTGGGTCAAAAGAATAAATAGTACTTTTTAAAATATTTTTGGCTAAAATCAATTCATAAATAGAATGTAAAACAACTAAAATCTATAGTTCCATCCAATGTCAAATCAATACTGGAATGCTTAAGTAAGCATCACAAGACAATATAGCAGCGTATGAGATTTAGCTAGTAGTAAAATGATAAAGTAGCTCTTTTAAAGAATTATATGTATCTATAGATTTGCACTAGATGATTTTTTTTTTAAAGTTCCTATATCAATAGACTGCTGTTCTAAAAACCTGATGTCATTTTTAAAATAAAGTATTTGGCTACTTTTGTTCACCAAGGGTGCATCACATTGTTTAAAAGTAACAGTAATGACATCCAGAATGTTACAAAAAGCTTTGCCATTTCAAATAAATGCTGTTCATTTGAGAACTGTTCTTTATTTGACTATTTATCAAATAATCCTGAAAACAATTTGTATAATAGTTTACTTACTTTTGAGCACTGAATCAGCATATTAGATTGATTTCTGATGGATCATGTTGTCACAGAAGACCAGAGTAATGATGCTGAAAATTCAGCTTTGCCATCACAAATTTAAAAAAATATATATTAAAATAGAAAACAGCTATTTTTAATTCTAATACTATATCACATTACGTTTTATTTTGTTCTTTGTGATCAAATAAATTTAGCCCCTCACTAAAATCAACCAATAACTGATATGATCCTGCCCTTTAAATTAAGCAAGGAAAAAGGAAATAGAAAGCTGGAACTGTTTGTAGTCATCTAAATGTAGCAGCTGTAAAAAAATTAATTAAAAAAGACAAAAAGAGGTTTAGAGATAATGGAGAGACTTGTCAGCACGTTCTGCCGTCTACCTGGTCAAGAACTCAGCAATGCCATGTCTCTTAGTGCCAAGCGTCTGGTCAGATGAGGGATCGGGGTCAGCGGCTACCCTATCTGGAGCACTCTGCCTTCGACCGCCAGAGCCGAGACATTCGTCCACACCACCCTCTGCTCCAAAGTACCCATCATCCACGGGGCTAAGAGGAGTGGCATCACAGCTGAGGGAGACTGTGTGACTGGCATTAGTCTGGAGGCTCCGGGGCCTTAGAGGGGGGCCCGCATCACTAAAATCCTCCTCTGGGCTCGGGTCTGTCTCTGTGTAATCACTGGTGTTTTCTGCCAGGGGTGACAAGGACAGCTTGGCACTGAGCTCGGAGAGGGTGTCAGCAGGATCTGGGTCACAGGGCCGGGCCTCCTCCGAGCTTTCAGTGCTGCCTCGATTGATCCTTTCACATGACTTCCCAGTGGAGGAGACACTGCCGCTTTGATGAACAAAGACATGGCTTTCTGGAGCAGAAAGGCCACCAAAGGGGACTTGAGAGAGGGTGTCATAACTGTTCACAATCAACAACCCCCCATTGCCCACTTTCACACCTCTGTCTTTAGCAGACACCTTCCTGTTGAAGCCTTCTGCTGGTGCATAATCCAAACACCTTAAAGGAGTATGACCGTGATCCATGTGTTCATGGGTAACATCTCCATTAGGCATCTTCATATCCGACGAGCTTTTACCCATAAATGACACTGCAGACCTCAGCTGGGAATTTAAATAACCATTGTCGGGTTTTTCTACGCACTCGGGCTCATTCGAGCTGGAAAGTTTTCCCCCCTCTTCTCCATCCGGACACACCATATGCACCTCCAGCTCTTCGGGAAACCCGTTTAATACTCCGGCCCTGCACCTTACCACCACCGAGGATATAATGTTAGTCGGCAGTCCAGCACTGCCCGGATTAGCGTATGCCGAATTGTAAACAGAGCCCTGCCCTGCTCTTTCGGAGGATGAAACGCAAACGCGTGCTTTATACTCCTCCCGGTTGTCGTTGACATCGATGGACGGTGTGAGTCCTGGCTCATCAGCATCTTCCACTCTTTCCATCTCACTGGAGGTGTCGGTGGTTCAGAAAGGCAGATGAAGCCCTGCTGCAGCGGCGGCGCCCCGGTTCGGCTGGGCTGTCTGCAAAACTAGCTCTCATCTTATGTATCTTACCGATTCTGCCAGTCCAGTACATTCATGACATTGCGCCTCCCAAACTTTAAGCGTTACGGACAAAAAGTAAAACCACGGTTGGGTGTTGTTTATCCACATTTTGATCCACGTCCAGCGCAGTTGCTGATAGAGGCCATTTTGAATGTGGTGTGTCGGCGTGTCTCTCCCAAGCAAAAGGTTGGAAGTGGGATTTCCAGGAGTTAACACGACATCCACCGGACACTTGGAGTAACTGCAGGACAATCTACATTCCACCTACGCATTCAACACAAAAAATATTTCATCTGAGCCAGCGTAAAAAGCATCAACTTGTTTTTTTTTCTATCTATCTATCTATCTATCTATCTATCTATCTATCTATCTATCTATCTATCTATCTATCTATCTATCTATCTATCTATCTATCTATCTATCTATCTATCTATCTATCTATCTATCTATCTATCTATCATAGAGGACGGCAATGCACACTGTATTCGACCCCTTTGTAACAAATAACCTATTAAAAACATCTAAAACATCAGCAGTATGCTATTTTATATTTTTTTTTATAAATAATAGGCTAATGTTTGGGATTTCACTCATTTGAGATAAATTTCCAGTATTCCACAGCTTTTCTTAAACAGGTTTGTTTTTGAAAGTTACAGGATTTCCCCCAAATTAACTCATTTTGACACTATAGTCGTGCATTGTTATTTAAATTCCATAAAGACCTTGTGTACGCTTTCTTGTGTGCAAAAAAAAAAAGAAAAAAATTATTTCACTCTTTGAATTCATGTAAGAGAATGTAGTAGACTTGGGCCATGTCTCAATGCATGCATTCATAAATTAAAAAGCAGGGTGTTATTTTCTGGGTATATAAATGCCAGATATTCATTAGGATGCATTCGTTTTAGCCAAATGCATTGACATAAACGTGTTCCCTTTCATCCCTTAAACACTAGGACAATTGAAATCATGAGTAAAGGCACACTTTATAAAACAGATTATGTGTTCACACTGGTTGCCACACGAACAACAACAAAAAATAATGTGGAGAATTGCAAATAAATATTGCAGTATCCAGTAACATGTTTGACATGTGAATAAAAAGATGTTCCACAGAGAATAGACTGCATAGGAAACTTAAAACCAAGAGATGGAGCTCGACGCACGGAGCTCCTACTCAAACACTGTTCTCAAGACAGCAAACGCATTTTTTCAGACTTTTTAAAAACTTGTTTAAACAAGTAGGCCTAACTATTCTTGACTCTTGTAGGCCTACTGCAAATAATTTTGAATAGAATATGTAAAAGGATTCGGAAAGTTATTGACATTAGCATAGGCCTATTTTAATTAAATGAAATGTTTGAATTCAGTTATCACCTTAATTAGCCTATATGTTTAGCAAAAACAAACAATCAATCAATCACTGTGCCTTTTAAATCGCTTCAACCAATTACATCTGACTCCCAAAAGTTAGGCTATCACTAAATCGATCCGAGGTAGGTTTTGATAATTCAACAGCATGCAGAACTTTGCATCTTTAATAATAATATGATTAATTTATCCGTTGATACCATTTGTCATTATCGTTTGGAAAGTACTATTATTGTTTATCTTTCCGTAATTTCTGTAGAACTCGTAAAATGATATTTCAGGTTTTGGCAAGTCATTCGGAGGAATGAATGTTTGTGTGAATCACACAGAGTCAGCGGTGTGGACATAAACCAATCACAAAGCGAGAACTTCTCGAGCGAGACGCACCAGCGCATGAATGTGGGTCATTCCGCGCGCTTATCACCCGGGAACGGACGCAGATTTCCCAACTTTCCAACATGGGACAGAGCTGGATATCGGACTGGTCATTCCTAACCAATATCCTAAAACAAGGTAACTGGCCATTATGAAGAGCTTTGGTGAGATGCAATATTAACAGACATGTTCATAGAGATGGAGAACGGTACAAACCACACGCAGGACCGCGCGCACGGAGCGCAGGAGCAAGAGGATGGAGACGGGCAGAACAGCGTGCGAGCTCTGCTGGGTTTCGTGCTCTTCCTCCTTATTATCTCCACACTACTTGGCAACACGCTTGTGTGCGCCGCCGTGGTCAAATTCAGGCACCTGCGCTCCAAAGTAACAAACTTTTTCGTTATTTCTCTGGCTGTTTCGGATCTCTTCGTGGCCGTTCTGGTGATGCCGTGGGAGGCTATATCCGCGGTGGCGGGCACGTGGCTATTCGGCCGGTTTTGTGGCATTTGGATAGCCTTTGACATCATGTGCTCTACCGCGTCCATCCTCAACCTGTGCATCATCAGCGTGGACCGCTACTGGGCCATCGCGAGCCCGTTCCGATACGAGCGCAAGATGACCCACCGGGTGGCTTTCATGATGATCGGGGTGGCGTGGACCTTGTCCATCCTCATCTCCTTCATCCCGGTTCAGCTCAACTGGCACATGGCTGACGAAGGTGAGGATGGCACAGCGGGTAATGGCACCGACTACAGCGACAACTGCAAAGCCAACCTAAACCGGACATATGCCATCTCGTCTTCGCTGATAAGTTTCTACATCCCCGTAATCATCATGATCGCCACGTACACGAGGATATTCCGTATTGCGCAGACACAGATCCGCAGAATATCCTCTTTGGAGAGGGCAGTGGAGCACGCGCAAAACCACCATCATTCCAACGACTGTTCTAACGAGAACTCGCTGAAAACCACCTTCAAGAAAGAGACCAAAGTTTTAAAAACACTCTCGATCATTATGGGGGTTTTTGTGTTCTGCTGGCTGCCGTTTTTCGTACTCAACTGCATGGTACCCTTCTGCCAATGCGTGAGTGACACTACCTTCACCATCTTCGTGTGGTTTGGATGGGCCAATTCCTCCCTCAATCCCGTCATCTACGCGTTCAACGCGGACTTCAGGAAGGCGTTCTCCTCGATTTTGGGTTGCAATAAAATTTTCCCCAGCACAAACGTTGAGACGGCGAATTTTAGTAACGAGCTGGTGTCCTATCACCACGACACGACACTTCAGAAGGAAGCGCAGCCACTGGCCATCCAGATGCCGAACCCTCGAGAGGAGCCGAGTCTCCCGTTCGATAAGGATTCGGTTACATCGAACGTGTCCCGGAATCACAAAAACATGCACTTGCCCAATATCGGACAGTTTGAGTGCGACGGTGAGATTTCCCTGGACACTATCACACCATTCACCTCCACGGGACTCATGGAATGCGAGGGAATCCCAGGTCAAATAATCAGGGAATGACTCGTTTTCGAATGGCGAGTTTTGGGGGGTAGCCTAGCCAAGGATTTATTTATTTATTTTTTTTGCCGAGCCAAATAAAGCCAAAACAAACTGTTGGGGTCTTGCAAAGTATGCTACACTGAACGAGTTTCATTCTACATGCTTTTCAAACAACTTAAAGTAACCAAAAAGTAGCCTAGGCTATGTCTCATTTTCGCCTGCCACAAAGGACGTTTGCTCGAGTAGCCTATAGCCTATAGCTATAGCCTTCTGTTTATCACTTCATAACATTTTTTTTTACAAACATAAAAGAAATTTGCAGACTGAAAAATTTAAGCGAGACTCAGACCACACTAGCCCAAGACATAGGCCTAGCATATAGTTATAAATTACTAAAGTGAAAGTCCCATGAAATTTAGCATATTCATAAGCACGCTGAAGCGATTTCATTCAATCTTTGATTAAGTTTGGAGTGGGTCACATGACCCTTATTGACCTTAGTGGCTTTCTTGAAAGAAAACACAGATTTATGTTTATTTTAAGCATAATTAGCCTAAATAACTTAATCTGATTAAGCACAAATGTTTTTGTTCATTTTCCATGTACATATACAGTAAAATATGAATTTCAATATAACTAATTGTATGTTGTGTTATATTAGATGTGTTTTAATGTGAGAAATTCGAATTTGCTGGCAACTTTTGCCGATTAGCTATAATCATTGAGCACATTTAGCACACCCCCACTGCTTTTTACACAATAGTCTCATATATTCTATATTTGTCATATCCACCTCCATCACAGCTCTGCACATATTGGCATTCTCTCGGCTAACTTCATGAGGTGCCACCTGGACTGCTTTTAATAGCCTCCTGAATTGAGATCCATGATGGAGACTTCTTGTTTACTTTCCCTTCACTCCCCGGTCCTTAATTGTCTCTATAAAATTATTTCAAGCATTAGAAAGCATGAGAAACATTAATTTGGTCCAATGTTTTATCCTCTGTAAGGTTAATGATCACACACAGATCTTAAAACACATTGATCTGAAATTACCAACACCTTTCACAGTTGACATTATAAGTAAGGTAACTGATTCTGACCTTAAATGTGCATAACACACCTTTGCATGTTTTTTTTTCCCATTAAATATCATTTTAATCACTTGCAATCATTTGTTTTCATTAAGTGCATTTAGATAATTTAGCAATATAGTTTGAGGTCATGTAATAAGATCTTTTTTTTATTGGTTGAATCTGATTGTTAACAGGACAACCAGGTCATTCCATCAAGAGGTAGAATGATTTATGTCTCATCTCCTCCCTGTTTCTAACCTACTTCGTGCTAGATTGAATTATGTGATGAATAGGCATGGTTTCTCATGGTAAAATGCAGAATACCACAAACAGGAATCTGGGCATTAAGACAATGGCAATGGAAATCTCATAGTTCCTGTTCTAAAACTGATCATGTTGTATGAACATTGCAAATATTCATGGGGTTATATTTTTTGCAGAGTTGATCTATTCAGCACAGCCTTCTTGATCAAGCAAGGAGAGTGTGATCATCAAATGTATAGGCAGCTGAGAAATAAAATAAAAATAATATCAGCATAAATTATATAATATTTCATCTATAGTGATCAATATTTATTTAGGCCACTGTCTGTCTCTTTTATTATCAGTATGGTCAATCACATGTTTTATTATATCATTTTTTGTTGTTTATTTTATGCCTTAACTGTACATAATACAACCAGACTTTTGCATTAGAGAATGCACAGAGAACAATGAAAGACTCACTGTAATATTTCCTAATTTTGAGCAATTTCTCAGCAACTTGTTTTTTATGTCACAGAGAGTGACGCTGTGCAGAGATGTAGCAATTTCTGTTTTTTTGCTTTTCACTGTCATTCTGCTTTCACTCAGTCTTGTTCTTGAAATTCTTCAGTCTTGTTGGAGTATTCAAAAGCTCTTCAAAACAAATTGAAAAGAGAGAGAAAAAAAAATATTGATAAAAAGATACTGCTCTGGGCATCACCTGGCTCAGGAAGTGTTTCATCTAGTCAGAACAAAGCCTTTGAGTCATACTGCAACCTCAATCTGGCCTGACCCACCGAAACCCCTAAAAACCCCAATGGTCCTACCTACAGGCCAGAAGACACAGCTGTGAGTAGACATGACAGTGCGCTGTAAATAAAGGCAATTACGATTTATCCAGCATAGGCTAGCTTCTCGCAGAAGAAAGTATGGAGGTACTGAGGATTATTAATCATTATATAATACATTTAATATATAAATATGTAATTATATTTACATAGCTATTAACCAAATCCCCTTTTTATGTTGTGTAGTTTATGAGTTTGAATGTAGTTAATGAGTTTTCCCTTCCCCGGAATGTAAGCTTTCACCTCACGTAAAAGAATTGTGCCTTTTTTGTAGGCTAGTAATCAAGCGTTTGAGCACTGTGCTGATTTTTTAAAATTAGTTGATAAAAGGAGATAAAATATAAAAGTATAAAAGTGATAGAGCGATAAAAATTAAAAAGCGAGGGCAAATCGCAGAGCAGCAAGAGCGTCCGAACAGTAGCTGAGCAGGAAGTCAGAAAGATTTTATGAAAATGTTATGATCTTACTAAAAACAAAGATGATATTTCAGTTCTGATCTGTCATTAATGCAACAGTACACTGCAAACTAAGATTTTATGAAAATGTCATGGTCTTACTGAAACAAAGATGATATTTCAGTTCTGATCTGTCATTAGTGCAGCAGTATACTGCAATCTATAGTGCTTCTAATTAGCTTGTACAATTTCCAGGCTGAGCTCTCATGCACAGAGAGCTTGGACATGCAGGAACAGCATGATGAAATGAATAAGGAAAGAAAAGAGAAGAGACAGGTAAATAATGAGAAATTAAAATACCACATGAATCATTGACAGGCTCATGAAAATAGAGGTCGCAGGCCAGAGTAAGGAAATAGAGCAAGAAACAGAGACAGAATCCTACTGTTTTTAAAAGTGATTAGCTTTCCTTCACAAAACTAGTCACGTTCCTTCACAAAACTTGAAAATAAAAATAATAAAATATAGTCGTAATGTAATTTCTTTCTGCAGCTGTTGTCCCAAACTACACATAACAAATGAATATGCTCTTTTAAATCAAGAAAAAGAGAAAAGAGGCAGAATCTGTACTAGCAATTTTATGTGAGAGACTCTTCTGAAATCTGCCGAAAGATGACGGCCCCACTCACCAAGGATTCTTACTGTCAATATTTTGTCAGCTTTTGTCAATTCTTGAGAGAAATATTGTTACATATCAATACTAGAATGGCCTTAGGCAATCTATAAAAATAAAAGGTGAAGGACAAGTGTTGCATTCTGAGGGAGACATGTGGTTGTCAAGGGGAAATCCAGGGTCACTAAAACATAACTTGATACCACTGACCCATAAAATTATGAATGCATTTATGCAGCCAGTGAAGTCATATTGAAACAGCCTCTGACACACACCCATGGAGTCGTGGCTCATTGACCTGAAATGGATTTAGACCTGCAAAACAAAGGTGGAAAAGGCTTTCATCTTTGTTATTGCAAACATAGAAAAAAAACACAAAATAATTTATACTTTCATTAATTTGATACGGTCCTCCACATAGGAAGAACAGACTAGTAGTACTATTGCCAACAATTGACCAAACGCGGACTTATACACATAGCTGAAGTGGATTCAAATTGTCTCAGTCTGGACTCTGGAGCGAGGTTTACTTCTTTAGGTAACAGGAAAATAAGCGTGGTAGTCTGAAATCTGCTCCAATGGGTCTAAATTAGAGCGTGCTGCAGTTCCATTTTTCACCACAGATTTTCACTGGTAAACAGTAGATCTGAGGAGGACTGTCAGGGCACTGTCTGCCCTGGTTATGATACATGCCTTTCCGAAGCCATATGTTAAATTTTAATATATCCTGCTGACTTTAAATAATCTAAAAAAAATCTGAAGAAAAATTGTTTCAGAATGCTGAACGCATTTAATTTATATAGAGGTCTGTTTTGGGCCCCAAGTGCACTTACAGATGAGCTGCGGCTGCTTCTGAGGCAGAAGCAGAAACGTAGGAAGCTGGCTCTATTCTGTTCCATCATCATGCCGGTTTCAAAACATGTCTCCATTATATTAATAATACGTTTATATATATATATATATATATATATATATTGTATATATATATATATATATATATATATATATTATAGTGCCTTTCCAGGGCTCAAGGACACTTTATAATGAACAAGCAACAATAATGGCAATGTACAACGATAACAAACAAAACATGATGAGAGACGAGAGTAAAAGTACAGTAAAGGAGAATTATGTAGACGGAGTAGCATACAGCAGAATAACAAAATGTAATACAACTTAAAAATGGTAATTTTCAGAAAATAAGTGAGTTTTGAGCAAAACTTTTAAATTTAGAAATAGTATAAACACAACAGATCGGGGGAGATAGTTTTATAGTTTGGGTGCAACAACACTGAATGATCCAACCCCATTCAGTGTTAAAGTTAAACCACTGGAAGCAAGTGAAGATGCACTCAACAGTGTAGTGAATTTTGAAGGTTATTTTGTCAAACATCACTTGTCGTCCATCACGATGGGTACAAAATTGGGGTGATATGAGCAAAACGCTTGGTGTGGGTAAGTATTCTAGCAGCAGAGTTTTGAATGTATTGCAATCTGGAAATGGAGCTAGCAGATAAACCACTGAAAAGGGCATTACATTAATCAAGATGTGTATAGATATTTTAATATTGTATTTTCTGTTCATCCAACATTTTGCAACGACACAACCTTGTGACTTTCAGAGTGTTTCCTATAACAACATCTAACGTTTACGTTTTACTTTGGTGTGAGAAAGTCACATAAACCACGCAAAATATGGTCAGAGAGGTCAGACTGAAACGGATTTCCAGAAATGTGATTTGAATAGGATTTCAAATCACAAATGAAAGTAGCTGGAAAAGGATTTGTGAAAATTGCATTTCATGTCATTTATTTCCATCCACACTTGCTAAATCTGATCAGGTTTCAATCTGATATGCAAAAAAACAAAATCTTCGGATTTGGACTGACAGTCTGAATGAGGCTCACATGTAATTATCATAAAATATCATAATTATCATCTCATAGCAGGACTGCAGATTTATTTACTAAAGCATTTAAAGGGGGTTGAATGCTCAGTATCAATATTTCCCAAGGGATTAATCCAGAATTTACTACAAGGTTATTCCTTAAATTCTCTACAACACATTGTGGAGTAAGGAATTTATTTAATTTTAAATTGTAATCTAAGTATGGCACATGATTTACAATGTTAATATTCAAAACCCCGTGTGTGTTACAGAAATATTTGAAACCCTATAGATCATGATTTGTGCCTGCAAAACAGGTTTTGCTTTGAAAAACAAGCTTTTTGTCCTGAAACAAAACTTGATATCTCAGGGTGTCATGCTTAGACTTTTTTTCACGTTATCCTTGGGACATACCTGCACTAGATCCAGAGGTGTGCCGCTTTGTGTTAAGAGGGCATTTCAACAGCCGTAATGACCCTTTCTCTTCTTGAGACTCATCATTATGTGGCTGTCTGAGAGAACAAGTAAATCACTCCAAATGGTGACTCGTCAATCTAGCTGCCCTCCTAGACCCACCCCTTATGGATCAAAAATATATCGCAATAATGCAATATATTATATAATACATTTCAATATATGGGTAACTGTCATATTTTTTTATATACTGCAATATATGCATTGACCATGTTATGACTATATATTAATACATATAAAATATTTATAAATGAAGACAAAAATAGCATTGCATGTAAAATTCACAAAGTTTTATCTTTTATTGTGTACATACATTGCACAAATGTATGCATGAATTATGAAATATTAGTAAATATATTGTAACATATTTTTAAATATATTAAATGCGTCAATTCCTTTATAAAATATTGTAATATATAAACACTTAAACGTACAGTAAACGCACTGTATGTAGTCATACACTTATCTAACTGTGTATAAGTGTGCATCGCTGCTTTCGAGTAGACAAAACCAAGCACTAGCTTTATTCACTAATTAGCTGCATAACCATGACAACAGCAGCATTGGTCCCAGAAGACTGTTAATAAACCGAGTCATAATTGTGTGTGTGTGTGTGTGTGTGTGTGTGTGTGTGTGTGTGAATGGGGGTGTGTAATTATCACTACTAACTTTTCTTAGCAGCACTCTTGCTCACACTCTCTTTGCTCTTTAATTAGTCATCAGTTTGGCAATCAAGTTTCTTCAGGTGCATCATAGAGAAATGTGCAGAAAACATTCTTTAACTCATCAGAATTTTGTGGTAATGTAATTGTGGTAAGCCACTCTGAAAAATTATGCTTATAATTGTTTATTTGGGCAGTGCCCCCCTGCTACTTAATTTCACTTCTGGCCAACTTGTGTATTAATCTTGTTCTTGAAACTTGGCATTGTGTACTGCAAATATTGTTGGCTATGATAAATTGATTGTGATGTTCCCTATATGCAAGTTTGCTACATTAATATTGTAACTGGCCGTGTGTGCAAATAAAACCCGCACAATGCAGTGCCAGGCGAGACGCAAGCTATTTTTATTTTTTTTTATTTTTTTTGCTAGTTTCAGCCCGACGCAGTTATCTTTTTCAAGT